GCGAAAACTGATATTATTAGAATTTATGTGCTTTACCTTAAAAAACCGAATAATGTGTTCTTCTCTCACTGTTTTGTGTCAGAAGTTATTTCAGGCGTAAGCAATCAAATGGCACTTCGCAACAGATTTCCTATAATGGGAGCAAAGGAATGGTCTGGCAGAAGAAAGAGGAGCGTTCACCGGGAGAGGTTTATTATAAGCCTGACGTTTCGGGTATGTGTCTTGTCTACTTATCTTCAGAAAATGGACACTCTGGTTCATAGTCCTTGTCGTTATGCCGCTCTTTCATCCGTAAACCTAAACAGGGGAAGTCAGGCAGTGTCTACTGACTTTAACGCAGCTACGAGATGAGCAATTATGTTAAAGAAACCGGCCGACAACTACAAACGCGAATGCATGAGCATAAGCTGGCCGTAAGAATGTTCGGACTCAAAGTCGGAGGTAGCAACTAATGCTGCACATATGGCACACGACGTCAACTTTGACGTGGTTAAAGTTGTGAGATACGAAGTAGTCCGGCCAGATAATAGATGATAGAACGTATCTCAATAGTTATAAGCTAATAAATAACAACACGTGGAAGGCCAGAGGGTTATGGATAATTTATTTAAATGCCGAAGGAGTAGAATCTGAGTGATAGGTAAGTGTCTCACAGACAAGTTCAATTCAGCCATGAGGAGGCCGGAGTCCAGAGTCGCATTCCGGCGGGTGTATCCGCCAGGTCTGGATGTCTGCAGCCGACACTAAGGTCGCCGGCTCTGGGAGTGTCTGAGGGTAAGCAATCCACGAAGTCAGGTTCTTTTTGAACTGGCCTTGGAACGTAATAAATCAGTCAGGACCAGACACGTCCGTGACCTTAATAGGAGGTTTGAGAGCGTCTGGCGCGCAAGGGCTGGTGGACACGAGAGCTAAGCACACGGGCCATGCCCCACAGGCATGTCAGCAAAGCATGGCTTAGAATACGAGGTTGCTGCAAAGTTGTGGGCCGAGGTGATGATCGCACACAGGACAAATTAAAGAAACCTGGATGTCAGCCGACCACTCACTAAACTTCCGCATACATTTTTCGGTCCCCTGTCTTGTCGAAAGAACCTTCTTATCCAGGGATAGACACGGAATGGAACGACCGCGGCCATCAACCAGCACCGCGATCAACCTGCATAGGACTGAAACAAGTCAAGGCGCGACGGGGACCGACGGAACGAATGCAAATGAGGGAAAAAATAACACACGTAGCACGGTGACAGACAGAGTAAACGAGGAGG